AGCTATTAGAAAAAAATTTTAAGTAAGTGAAAATAAAAATAAAAAACACAAAAATTTGTGTGGTACAGCTGAACTGATAATGAGGGAAGTTTCTATAAGTAAATGCTTGTATTAAAAAAGAATGATGTTGAAAATGAGTAATCTAAGCTTAAACTTTAGGAAGCCAGAAAACACATGGATCAAGCAGAAAAAAAAAGAATAAATTAAAAAATGATCAATGAAATTGAAAATGGAAAACAAATAGAGAAAATCAATGAAACCAAATCTGGATCTTTGAAAAGATAATAAAACTGATAAACATGAAGCAAAACTAAGCAAGAAAAAAAAAAGATAGAAAGCACAGATTATCATTATCAGGTATAAAAAAAAGATATCACTAAATATCCTGCAAACATTAACAAGATATTAAGAGAATGCTATATATGTAAATTAGAAAACAAAAAGAAAATAACCAGTTATCAAAAACCACAAACTAACAAAACTCCCCAAGATAAAACAGATAACCTGATAGTTCCATAACTATTTAAGAAATTGAATTTGTTGCTAAAAGCTTATGGAAAAAAAATCTTCAGGTCCAGATGTTTTCACTGGAAAATTCTATTAAACGTTTAATGAAGAAATACCACCAATTTTATATAACCTCTTTCAGAAATAGTAGAGGAAAGAACTCTTCATAACTAATTTTATGGGGGTACAATTACGTTCATACCAAAACCTGACAAAGAGAAAGAGAGAAAGTGGATGTGGCAGGAAGGGGAGGAGAAAGAGAAGAAAAAGAAAAAGGAGTAGAGGAAAGGTGGGGGAATAGAGGTAGGAGAAGGAGAGGCAATTACAGAGCAATATCCCTAATGAACATAAAAATATACTCAGCAAAATGTGATCAAAATGAATCAAGCAATTTATAAAAAGAATAATATACATGACCAGTTGTGGTTTATCCCAAAAATTCATTGCTCATTCAATATTGAAAATCCAATCAATGATAATAGTCAAAATAAGAGAAAAAAATCGTAATATAAGTAGATTCGGAAACAGTGTTTAACTAAAAAGAACATCTGTTCGTTGTGTGTTTAAAGTCAGAAAATTACAAAGTGTTATTTGTCAGCTTCATAAAAGACACCTACAAAAAAGC